GAAAAGTTACACCAATTTCACTCCTGCCTTAGTCAATGAATCAATCACGGCTTTCACCTTGCCGTGATATTTTTGATCCTTCTTCAAGAAAACAGACACAGCAGGTATATTCTGAAGCAGCAATCTTTCTCCGAGAATTTTCCCGATTTTGGCAGCAGCCGAAACATCCCTGGTGCTCTCTTTAGTCTTTTCCAAGCTCAATCTCAGTGCCTTCTCTTGTGTGCTGGCTGCAGATGCTACAGTTGCCGTGGGAGTGTGAACAACTTGCGCGTGTACGAATTTATTCGTGAAGTGCATTCTCAGTACATAGGGTTTCAAAAACTTGGTCACTCTTTCTGGCCTTACCGGAGGAGGAATCACCATTTTTTCTGTCACACAAAAAGATGTGAAATTTACTTTAACGATGAAAATCTATTAGATACAAAACTGCAACTTTCATGTGCTTCTCAAATTACTTGCAAATCGAAAAGGAAGATGAGACAGGCATTACAATAAGGACTACTATTAACTGGGAACACAAATCTGGATAAATGAAGTCTTGCGGATAAGAATGAAGCAGAAAATATGTATCGTATTCAAACAACTTAATTTATATTTCGGATCGATATAGATTGAGAAGGAAATAAAGAATATATACGACTTTCAAGCGTTCTATACGCAAACATCCCTTTCAAATCATCAATCAGCAATGGGATTTGAAAGCAATTGACAAGCCAATTTTCCTGATCACGGCAAAAATTACTTGCCTTTCAGTATTTAGCCAAACATAACAAGAGGAATTCAGCTCAACTAAGTAACATCATGTGTACAAGCTGAGAGTTAGTGTTGGGATGATGGGATATTCTGGATAATAATGCAGATCTTGTTTGATCAACAATCGAGATATTCTGGATAATAATGCGAAAGATCATTTAAGTTCGCAAGCACAATTGAGTCCTAACTGAACCTATTTTTTTGTTCGAACTAGCTCGATTAACAAAAAAACAAGCTCGAACGAGCTTTTGCTGGCGATCGTTTCCTTTGTTAACAGCACAAGCTGAACAGATTGTCTCATCAGCAAACAGCCAATAAACTCTACACAATAAACCCTAAACAATACTTCACAAAGATAGCATTTTTTTACTTAACAACACGCAATTTCCACCTCCACACGCTCACAAATTTGATAAAATGACATCAGTACATAACCCCAAAAACATGAGATTAGGTTCTAATCGCGAGAAAAATTAGCAGCTGGAAACTACAAAAATGTATATAAATCAGTGTACGACGTAAGAACCTGAATCAAAATCCAATTTTAGCTGAAAAAAAAAAGAAGAAAGTAAATTCATTTCCAAAAATCCACATACGAAAAGAACACAAAGTTAGCGGTAGGATTTGAGTATGAACCTGTCTTTGCCAAAGCTCTTCGTTTCAATTTCAGGCCTTAACCGAAGAGTGAAGAAGATTTTTAGGTGCTCGAGCCCGAGGATGCTTACGATAATGGGCTCAGACTTGGGCTTTATCTTCTGGGCTCAAGACCCTTATACTTTCTGTAGAATTAGGGTGGCCAATACGCATTGAACACATTTTGAAAAGGACTAGAAGTAGAATAATCGAAAATTTGGGGATAAAAGGGGAAAAAGAAGAAATCTAAAATTGTAAACTAGTCAAATCGTACTCGAGCTTCTAAAACTCTAGCTCGAGCCTTTATTGAGCTGAGCCCACTAATTGAGCCAAAAACGAGCTCAAGCTTAGCTCGTTTATCAAATTAATAAATTATGTAAAGGTAATAGACTAATAGTACATAAAAATTATAAAATTACATAAAAGAAAATTTTTATTTCTTGAACCTAACACGCTCTAATTTATATATTTGTCACGGGGGTCGAGTCAAATCCAAACACAAAATCGAACTGCATGATTTTTTTGCGTTTTTTTACACAACAAACCGAACTCTCCAGAAACTAAATCTAACTGCTCGATTTTTTTGGTTATGGCTCGATTTTGCTCAACCCTACTCATGGTGAGAAGAGAATATCCTAACATGAGTATCTGAATCATTTTCCAATATAAAAGACATAATGTTATTCCTTACAAGAATAATAACTATATGGAAGATAATAAGCCCGTGCTGAAAATCTCCATTCCAGAATAAAGATCGAGTCTTGATCTCCTAATGCCATTTTCATCAAACTGCACTAAACGTAAGTTCCCTTCATTTCTCATTTGCTTTTCCCTACTAACATTTACTCTTTTGCTTTCAATTTGAAGAATGTAATCTGTTATTATTTGTACAAAAGATTTGATTTTTAATTTCCCACGTGATACAAGATTTAGTAATTGGTTGGGTGTTTGGTTCTTGGGAGTTGTTGTGTTTTGTCGCCTTTTGCAATATACTTATATTTGTTGAGAATAGAGTTTTTTCATTATTGTTGAAGGTGTGGCACATTTTATAGTTTATGTTGCTCATAATAGCCATTAAAAGAAGTTCCTTTCATATCAAGGTGGATATGGCTTACTAGAAAAGCTTTTAGTTATTTTGCAGCCTTGATAGTTGGTTCGATTTAGCAGATAGCTCGAGGCTGACCGAGACTAAATCGAGCTTGAAACCAGTGACTTGTTAGCATACTTGTATTCTTGAATTTTAAAGACAGTATGGTTTTTGTGAGCCTCTGCAAAATCAGTAGAAAGAACAATTATGAATGTATATATACAGTTTCCTGTTTACAACTTTCATGTTCAAGTACATTTAAAGTACGAATGAATTCTGATTATAATTACATACATCATTATACGATTGCAAAAAGTGATTCGAGAAAATTCTTGGGACTGAATTATGAACAAGAATCATCATTTTTTTTTTTTTAATTTTAACTATCCGGGTCCATTCGAAAGATCCATTCTTGATTCTTTTTCCCAATCATCTTCTTTATAGAACACTTTGCTCTCTAAGGTTGTGAAGAAATGTTTCTCCAACTTTAGATCCATCCTTGAGAAAAACAGCCGGATATCCAATCCGAGCTGCCACCAAAATTACGCAACCTTTTTCCGAATATATTTTTCCAGACCAAGCATGCTTCCATGAACAAACCTCTCTTTTCGGAAAGTAAACCTTAACAAATTCCTTATCTTTGTCAAGAACAGGCACAACTAGAATCTCGGTGCCTACTAGAAACTGCTCGTAGGTTAGCATTTGCACTTGTTCGTCATCTGGATAGTGAATGAATAGGTGTCGACAAACGGGCAGACCCTTTTTCGATGCTTCCTATACATGAAAATCCCCGAAATAGAAAGTTTATTAGAATTATAGAGAGCTAAAGCTGAAACTATCGGGTTTTTTCTTTTCTTTTCTTTTTTCATTTAGATTATCATGTCATTAGTTATTACCTTCACTAGTTGGATTCTGTAGAATTTCCATGCATTGTATATCTTGGCGAACCGTGAGAAATGAGATAAGGTTCTTTCGTTTGAATAGAATTGAGTGTTGCTTTGTGGCTTATTTCCCTGATAAACAACAAGTGTGTTCATAATTAAAAGATTTGTGTTTAATATTTATACTATTTATACTATTATTATTGTTACTATCTAAAAAAACTCACTTCATGTGTTCGAAAAACAGTCGTAAATGCATTCAGCTCCATCCACCTAAGCAGAAGCTCTTCACTCCTTTTGTATTTAGTGAAAAACGGTAATAAGCTCATGGAACAATATCCTCCGATATCACTGTGGTTGAAAGCATATCCCGAAAGCCTGCTGCTTAGCAAGCCCAAAACCGAACTCTTAATCCCATCGTTAGCCTGCCAGCTCACCATCTGGTCTCCTTCCCAGAACAAGCTTGCCCATTTGGGGCTGTTTCGAAATCCAGCCCTCATGAAGAAAACCAAGGGCTCTTGTTGTTTGCTAGTTCTCCACTCATCAGCAAATTCTCGGTTTATTTGTGCCCATATTTCAGGGTATCGGTTGTGGGCAGTGATTGGATCTTCTCCTGAAAATTTCAAAAAAAAAAAGCATTAGCTCTTGAAAAAAAATAAAAAATCAAATGACTCTTTAATGTTTTCAAATGTCTGTTAATTTGTTCTACTTATGCATGGTTTAGTCATATATATTTGGGTCTTTCTGTAGTTAGAAAAAATTCAGGGGCAATTTCATTATTCTCTCAAACTTTTTTTGTCAAGATGTTTATTCCCAGATCATGCTCTGAAGATACTGTTTTTTTTATTTATTTTTTATTTTTTTTTTGAATGAAATTACAGAAGCTCACCTGAATAAAGACATGCATCCAAAGGCAAACCTTCACCAAAATCAGCCATCCAACCCTTAACTCCATCATCCACCATTTCTTGCAGAATTTGCTTGAACCAATTTCCCGTTTTTGGATGTGTTAAATCCAACATTCCCACATCGAAAGCCGTGTTGGGAACCATGTAAGCCCCTTCTTTTTGGTCTTTCACTAGGATGTCCAAATTCTTAGCCTCCTCAAACAGATTTCTTCTTATGTTTGTCTTCCCATCCATCTTTCATGAATAAATAACCGTTTAGAAAAAAAAAATAAATTTCAGAATTTTAAGTCATCCTAACAAACAATTAGTTTGAGATCAAAATGCAGTATACCGGAGCTAAACAAGGGTTGCAATATGTCATCACTTTTATATTCTGAGAGCTGAGATCTTTTATCAGTTGTTTCCATCCCGAATATCTAGTCGAATCGACTTCCCAGTTCCACCATAATTGAGAGCCGATAACAGTTTTCCTTTGTCCTACCCAATCCTGCATGCCAAACACTTGATGAGCTTAAACATAGGATGTGTTTGCAAATGCTTTATTTCCTTTAAAGGATTATCAATCCCATATTTCTACCCTCAACTTTCACACATCAGCTTCTAGCCATATTTTGAGAATGGAAAATTTAGAATTTTTTCTAATTAATTCTTCCTATAACTTCACCTGCAGCCAAAATGCAGATATTGGGGTATTCATGGCTTGAAGCTTATTCAAGATACTTCGTACTTTGTCCGTGCCGCCTTGCATTCCAACCACAGCCCCTGATATTATCCACTCAGGAAGCTGTTGAGGTCTACCTATGGCTTCAGTGAAATGCTCAATAAGCTCGGCAGGTGATTTTCCAAATAGTATTCTACCTTCAATCATGTCTCCATATACCTGCAAGCAATTTTAAGCATGCTTTAAAATTAGAAAAGCAATTTTTTTTTTTTTTTTGGGGTAAAATATCAAGTTTGTTAGGTGAAAGCCCACATTATGGGCACATATTAAGCAGTGAATTATATCTTCTTTAGAATCATACCACAAAATTTTTACCTGTATCTGTACACAATCATCCTTTGTTAGATCGAAAACCGAATAATCGTACCCTTCAAGGTAAAGAGACCTCATTTTCGACGTCATGTAAAAAGGCGAAGGTGCATAAGTCGTCCTCTCATCACCGGCCGCCCTACATTAGAAACAAACAGTTTTTTGACAAATATGAATCACTCAACTCAACTATTAGAAACTAAAAAAAAAAAATCACTTTTTTTTTTCTTTTTATCTTTCCTTGACAAAAATTTATTTACCTATAGCTAACCAAATTAGCAGCAAACGTGATCGGTTGATCGCCCCTCCCGATTCCTTGCTCTTGAACGAATATCGGCACTCTTTTCCCTTTCAAGTCCATGTAAGAGAACTGCTCCCCAAAACCATAAAACCTCTCGGTTTTCTCACTCGAATACGTTATGCAAATCCTGTTAAAATCGAGACAAACCGCATTCTTCATTGCCGCATTCTCATGCTCGGTATTCGAAAATGCTATCGACACTCTACTTTTCACATATCCACACCACCCGACCCGTATACGGCCCACTTTTTGTGCAAAACCTCTGTAACTATACTTTCTTGGAGAAAACTTATGTGCTTGCTCGATATTCGGTTTTCCCAAACTCACTCGAAACCCGACTTGTTTGCTGTTTTTCTGATCAAACACAACCCAATACTTTGCATAACAGCTCTTATTATCATTGAAAATCCTACCTTTGATCATAACAGCCGGTTCTTGCAAAAATGGTGAATCTTGAATTTGATGATCATGTTGGTTAGATTCTTGTATGATCCTTCTTACATCATCAACTGTTTGGTGGGTGCATATGAAATGGAGGTTTTTGTCCTTGATGAGGAACGATCCTCTGCTCTCCTCAACCTCTGTATCGGCTGAGGCTGCAGAGACGAAGGCCCGGCCCGCGACTGTGGCCCATATGAATCTTGAAGGTTGGGCCCTGTGATGGATTGAGAAGGAGCCTCCATTTTGTGATGACCAGCTTAGCTGAAAATCATGGCCTATGTCATAAATCTGGTGTGAAGGGATTGTTTGGGGATTGTGAATTAGAGTTCCATTGATAAAAGGTAGAGTCTTTGGGTTTGATGGGAAAGGGTAGTTGATGTGTTTATGGTGTTTTTTGGTTATTTTGAGGGATGTCATGTTGGAATCT